CTTAAATTTTTGGTAAATAACTTTGAAAGTGCATACATTTTCAGTAAAAATGAGCAGTATTAAATAACCTACATTCTTTTATAATAGTTTAATTTTACATAACAAAAATAAATAATTTAATGCCACTATAATATGCTCATTTTTTAAAACACCCTTTATAATTAAGTTTCTACTCATCCAATTTATTTATTTTATATATTTTAATCAAAATTAGCTTTTTTAACTTATTTATACCAATTTCTACAAGAAAAATAATTTTTCAATAAAATAAGGGTACGCTGGCCCACTGTGCGTCGTCCTGAGTACATTGATATGCTACATGTTGAGGGTTACATAAGAAAATTTTTGAGAAAAGTAGGTTTTTGCCGCTGATTAAGATTTTGGTTTTGACGAACTTATTCGCTGTTACGGGGCACTATGCATTGCTAATAAGGGATTATTTAAATGAGGTCTTTCCCAATCGCTGGATAGGTCAAAGGGGTCAAATTGAGTGGCCAGCGCGATCGCCCGATTTGAACCCTTTAGACTTCTTTTTATGGGGACCTCTTAAAAACCGCGTCTATGTAAACAGGCCTTAAAATTTGGACGACCTAAGACACCGCATTCAAGCAGAGATCCAGATGATCACTCCAGCGGTACTGGCAAACGTACAACGCTCGTTTGTATACAGGCTGTTCCATTTCCAAATAGTTTACGGTGGACACTTTGAGCAACTGCTCTGATTGGCTTTCCAAAAAACATTAAGCAACGCATAGATTGTGTAAGTTTGACAAAATACCAAAATCTCATTCGGCAGCAAAAACCTGATTTTCTCAAAAATTTTCTTATGTAACCCCCCAGATGTGGCACATCAATGTAATCAGGACAACGGTAGCTATCCAAAAATGCAACAAAAATAAAGGGTTGCAATTTAAAAAAAACTGACTTTGATTGTGGCGCCGCCACGCGGCAGAATTTGGAATAAATACATATGCTAAAATATTGCTAGAAAAATATCAAAGTTGGCGTGTTTCAGCGTTTTTTTAAAAAAATTACCGTTTTCAAAATAATCACATGTTCCGGGACTTTACGGACACACTGTATATAATTAGATTTTGGATATTTAAACAAGTTAAAGTTAAAATTCTTAAAGATTTAAATAATGGTTTACACGAAAACGAATGAGTTATCACATCCTGAAGTCCTGCGCATATATTATGAATATATATATATATATATATATATATATATATATATATACGGACATATGAGAAGACTTGCAGATGTAAGATTACCAAAAGAAATTTAGAAATGAAAACCACCAAATAGAAGTAAATGGGACAGACAGACCAAGAAGAAATTGGAAAGCTATTGGTACAAAAACAAGATTTAGATGTAAATGTATTTTTAAACAGAAAGCCAAGAAGAGTAATAAAAAAGACTAGTGAAATCGTGGAGCTTGGGTTTCATAAAATTGTGGGAACGTGGAGTTCTGATTTCCTTCATACCCAAACACGTGGATTCTTGAATTCTTCAAGTGGATTTTTATCGAATAGGGAAAAGTTTGCAATCTTCTCACCAACCATTGAATTGTTAAAGAACAAAACAATATTAAAATATTTCCCAACACCAAATAAGTGCTACTTTTCGCCAAAGTTGGCATCTTTAAAGCAAAGACATACTTTTCGCTTCTAAATATGTCAACTTTGTTAAAAAAAAATTGTTTTAGATGATGAAACATTTCAAGACTTCCATGCTAAAAACAATTGGATTTTGAAAAATTAAAAATAGAAAAACATAAACATAACCTAATGTAGGTATTTCAATAAAAAATTTTAGCTTTAATTAAAATGGAAAAGTTTTTATATCATAGAATGTAAAATAATGTTTCATGTATTTTTGTCAGCAGAAAGATTTTTATTTGAATTATAAAAATAAAATTGGATAATATAATGTATATTTTTTAGATGAAGTAGTAAAATATCTTTTATTACTTACAATAAACAACCGGGAGCGGACGTAACAGCAGTTAACATTAAGAAAAGGTAATAAGCAAAAGAGTAACCCGACTCTGGCAGTTTTATCGTTTTAATATGGCTAAATAGTGGGCGCTTTATCTCCCGCAAAAGGAGTATGTCAAGTTAGTATTCCCCTTGGAGGCGTTTTCATAAAAGTATTCATATTTAGCGTAACAGCTGCATATCTCCGTTATTAATTTGTACAATAACTTGTGACGAATTGCCGAGGTCCCGGGTGAAAACATTTTTTATCTAGATACGTTAAAGCTCTGACATTACTGGTATCACTTATCTCTTCTTCTTTGGCTGGCTTAAAAATTTGCCTATGTTTTTATTATACCTGCGTTGAATATGCGGCCATTTTTTGTAAAACAATAGCTAATACAGCAAAAACACGGAAAACTCCCAAACTAGTATCGATATCCCGGGGAATTCGCCATTTTTGAAAATATTATTGACAGAGACCGGAGTTTTATGCACTTAAAAATATTAAAATTACTTCCAAAAAGGCACAAAAAAACGGTATATAGGCACAAAAAGACAATATTAAAAAATAAACGCGTTTATTATAATATACATTACATCATTTTGTTGGTGTATTTGCCTTTAAATAGCAAATATTTTTTGTTAAATTATGTCGTTTATCCGATAAATATTTTTTTAAGAGAAAAAAAAAACGCCGCGTTGGCGCCGAAGTGTGGTGTTTAAATCGGTGTGTTTATTTATTTTCGTGAGCAAAACAATGGTTCGATGCTATGGTCGGAGCGATGTCCGGCGCTTCGGTGTGTCTGGACACTAGAGTTTGTTGCAAATAAGCTTATTTTGTTGCGTGCATAAAAAACGGCCATTAAAAAATAAAAGTTGGTGCTAAAAAGGCAAACTGTTTCCTATTTTAGGCAAGCATTTAAGGCAAGGTTTCGGCATTTTAGTATTTGAAAAGGGCAAAAATGGCTTAAAGTGCACCAAAAATGTCTTTATTGGATATTTTATCAATTATGTACATTTTGAATAAAACACAATTAGGTCGAACCCCGTATGCGGTCATCTTTGTGCACAAAATTATCACTTTTTTTTTGTGCACAAAATTATCACATTTTTTGTTTAACTAATTTGGCAATGATCAAGGTCCAGATAAAGAGGAATAAAACAAAAGTAAAATGGAAGAAAAATATGAAACTACCACCAAAATTTCATACCCAAAATACCCAACCCAAATGTAAAAAAACACTTTCTTTTTCTAAGATTAAAACCTTAGGTTATATGAGGAGCCCACGGTATATAAAAGCTAAATTTACCACCGTGGTAAAGCTTTATCTGGAAACCCATTTTCTAAATATCCAGACGTGTAGGACTCAAACAGTGTTAATATTTAGTTTCAGCGGACGAAACACACGTTTCTCGTTAAAAGTACATGCAATTATTTTTTTGTGTGCTTATAATGATGAGAAATTTACAATTTAAAATTCACCACATTGATTCCAACTAAAAGTCTCTCTTTTTAAAGAGCTTTAAGGACTTGGTAATACCCAGTGGGTATATATATATATATAATATATATATATATATATATATATATATATATATTAGGGTGGTCGTTAAAAATTAAATTTTTTGCGACGCCCCCTAAAAAGCTTCGTTTTGATGAAAAAACACTAGCAATTTTTTTTTTAAATTAAAAACAACACGTGCCTCAAGACGATCTAAGTGAATTTTTTGGTATAATCATGTTTTTTTGAGAATTTTTTGTAAAAAATAAAATTTTATTCGAAATATAAACAATTATAGAACCCAAATCAATAAAAAACAATAGTTAATCGAAATAACAATAGACAAAAATTTATTAAATAAAAAAATTAAAGATATTCAAATTCATATTTTTATTTTATAACGAAATAAGTACAAACGTAATTTTAATATCTAGATTTCTTCACTCAAATAATTAACTTAGATCGTCTTGAGGCACGTGTTGTTTTAAATAAAAAAAAAAATCCTAGTGTTTTTCATCAAAACAAAGCTTTTTAGGGGGCGTCGCAAAAAAATTTATTTTTAATGACCACCCTAATACATACGTATATATGGAGATTCCTAACCTTATTTATATATTTCTTAATAGTATTGAATAATTTATTATTTATTATATTGAATACAAATTAATTGATTTTTCATAAATATAATGTGGTTAATTAAATAATAGTATATTATTAAACATGAATAAAAACCTGCAATTTTATTCATGTTTGCGTCTCGAGTCACCAGATGAGAGGCTTAAATCATTCAAGTGAATAATGCGCACAATCTTGAGTGTAATACTATACTTCTAATCCAATAAGTAGATAATTAAATGATTTGGGTTAACCCCAATTTTTACCAATTTTAAATGTTATTACAGTCGCATTCTTCCAATTTAAAACCCGATTGGTTCAAATCACAGTGAAAATTGAAATCGGCTAATCATTGATGCCTAACAACGTAAATAATGAATTCATTATTCACGTTATTAGGAAGGAAATTTATAATGTTTATCATTATTCACTGAAAAAAAAACAATATTATGCAATATAAATAGATAAATATTATTATTAAGACTACTATATGGACGCTTATCGAAAAGGAACCAAGCGCCAAAAACTTTTTCTGGGATTACTAAAATTATTTATAAAATAACTCATTTTTAATAATGCTTCATCATCATTTGGAACTTTTCTCAAAAGGATTAAGAGGATTTCCAAATCAGTATTAATTTTTTAAGCAGCATCAAAAATGAGTTAATTTGCAAATAATTTTGTTTACCCCAGAAAAAGTTTTTGGCGCTTGGTTCATTTTCGATAACCGCTATACATATTGCAATTAAAAAGACAATCGATAAGCTCAACTTTATACTACTTCAATCGATTGCTTCTCAGCGACTTTCATCTCGACACTTATCAGGAAACACTTGTCACATAGCCTATCAATATAAAGCGCTTGACATTTTTTGTCGATATTTCTCTCGGTAAAACTTACTGATATCCATTGACATTGTCAGCAGGATTTGCGGTATGATGAGTATAAACAGAAGTCGCCAACAATCGCCCAACATGGCAGCGGCCTGAAATAAAAAATATGACATTAAATATACAGTTTACAAATGGTTTTTTCTTTAAATGAAAGAAAAAATAAAAATTAATTAACACTTGCTACGGCAATTTCGTTTATTCCTTAGTCTGTTATTAAGGTTTTAGGTACTTTTATGGATAATATAAAAATATAATGGTCACAGATTTGGGTTAATAGTTTGTTAATTTAGAAAATAAAAATATTATCAAACTACAATTTATTTTATTAGACTTCGTTTAATAATTTGATTACCATATAAACAGCATACCCAAAAAGACTTTATTTTGTAATTTTAAGGGTATATAATCTAGATCGTTTGTCTTATACAGATTGGGATGTCCCATATATCGGAATGGGATGTCCCATAAATCGGAATTATTATACGAGTGGACTCCACTCCCTGAGAGCTTGATTGGCTCATTTTCAAGTTATAATTACAGGCTTGTAAATAAAGAAAAACATTTATTTACAGATTATAAAGTTTAAAGACCCCACAGACTTTCTTTTTTAACTGTTTTTGTGGCCACGATTCGGAACGTCGTGTCAATACGTCAATATATCAACGGAAAATTGTGGCGATTTATAAAAACGAACATATAAAGTACAAAGACCACCTTTTATTTATTTTCCTACACCTCTCTTGGTATTCATAGATTTTAAGCGGGCAATAACATATAGTTTTAATTAAAATCTATTAAAAATTGCTATATAACATATTGACTTTTGGTCTATTTTGCGACTGCGCTACTGTAAAAGCCCACGATTTTGACCGAAATCGCCACAGACTGTCAGTTTGACACGACAACTAATGAACGAACGACGCTTTTTCGCCATAAGGGAATCATACCGAATCATCGCGATAAAAACGGATGAAAAAGAATGAAATCTGTGGGGGCCTTCAAACGTTTGTAAAATAAAACTCATTACATACCACACCTTTTAAATATTGAGTAGAAAAAGTTCTATTTTAGGACAAATTTTATAAGTCAATTAATTTTAGTGTGTGTATATCAAAAAAGCTCTGCAACCTTGTTGCCGCCTTAAGGTAGCTGCGATAAGTTGCATCGTCAGATTAAGGCTTAATGCCTTTTTATTTATTTATTATCAACTGCAATTTTAACTTACGAGTATTCAAACTAAGTAGTTAAAAATAAACCATTTTACTACGAAATCCAATTTATTAAGCACACCAAACTAAATAAAAATGTTACTTAGTTTATTTAGTCGTTACTTTCCAACTGAAGTAAAAATCAGATAATCAGATTTAACACGAAATAAAATCGTTTTATTATGGCTGTAGATAAAAAGTTAAAAACGTTTCCATTATTTCCGTTTAATTTTAAAACGTTTTAGACACTTAAACAAAATAATTTTAAACTAAAGCTTGTTATATTTGCTAGTGATTTTTTTGCTTGAGTAAAAACCAAACGTTTCTAAAGATTTTTCTTTGAATGTGTTCAACTGCGTAAATATCGTAAAAACGACATTTATCGAACTGGGAACGTACAAAAGAAAAGTTTCAAGAAAATACAGTGCTTTAAAAGAAATTCTATACCGTAAGAAATAAAAACATTTTTATAAAATCTTTGGGACTGATTGTAACTTACAATAGTCGTAAAATAAAAAAAATTTTGGCTAAATCGTTTAATAAATTAAATAAAGCAAATATAAGTAGGTATTAAAATAGAATGAGTAAATTTTAAATAATTTTTATTTTTTTTTTAAATTTTTTTTTTAAATTTTTTTTTATGGAAATTATAATTGGCCGATCAAATATTTGTACCATTCGACAACATTTCTTCACCATTCGGCATGACTTTGAAGTTCTTTATGAACTAAATCTACTTGTCAAGTTTTTCCCAAACGATGCAGATTTAATGTTGTGGAATTCAAATTAAATATGATTAATAAGTTATTAATAATAACCATTAATTTTAATATTATATAAGTTAAATTAAGAACTATTTTTCGTGGTATAACTTGAATTATAATTATCAAAGGAAAACTAAATGCAACCATGTAATGTATAATATAAATAATAAATAATATGAAAACAACGATATTACATAATTACGTTATTACCGAAAAACATTAATTCTTTCTTAAAATGAACCCAATTGAAAAAAAATTGGGTATTAAAAAAAGATAAATATTACCCAAAATATAAAAAATATTTTTTTTAACAGTTTTTAAACTGTATTATAGAAAGACTTCATATTTGCAAATGTATGCAGTTTTAAGATCAAATTATTATAAACCGCCGTATTAAGCTCGAAATCATTGCTGATAACTGTTAAATTACCGGTTATTGTAGAATAAATTTATGCACATAACTTATAATTCCAAACGTCAATATTATCTACCTATGACAAAATGTCGCAAACTATAAAATTCCAATTAGTAAACGCTTAAAAACCATGTTAGCATGTTAGATAATGCACTATTAAAGCCTTTAAATTAATTGATTGTTATCTTAACAAATAAAATTTTAAAACTTATTGCTTTCTATAAACTTGGAAAAACCTATCTATTTTGTCCCTTTTAATTTTTTTTACGTTATATCTAGGATTTACTAGCAGTGAATTTCTAGTAGTAAACATTTTATTTTTATTTTGTAGGTTTCAGTATACAATAGGAATATTCCAAAGGTAAAAGATACTAAAAATTGTATTGCAGTTACATTCTTATAAACATTTTTTTTATTTTTTTTCTTAATAAAATTTGACAAAAAGTTAATGTGTTATATATTTTTGCAAATCCCTGGCCTTAAAAAGAAATATTTTCGCAATAAAAAATTTTTTTTTGAAACTTTCGGAAAATTTCGGGAATTTTCGATGGAAAGTTTTCGGGAATTTTCGTCAAATGGGAATTTTCCCATCTCTATATATATATGTATTAATGGTTTTACAGGATCTGCTCCATATTGTCGGTTTTTGGTTCCTAAAAGTCCGTATGTCTGACGACGTTTCGGTACAATCTCATGTACCATCTTCAGGTCTTATCTGCTGGGCTGCTGTTTCTGGTTTGAAGCACATTCGAAATAAAAGCACAGTGAGCAAGGTGGCATTTTCACATATATATTTTGCAGAGAGCGATTTCTGCTAAGCACATAGTTTGGCTACGTCCTCTGGACGGTAGATGTCGCTAAGAACTCTCGTTCGCTTTGTTGTCACTTCTGTCTGTGGCATTACTTGTTATAAGAGCGGCTGGTGTAGTTTGTTTCGAGTGTGCTTCGGTCTAACAAGGCTACCCGACACTGATGAGGACCAAAAGTCCGAAACAGGCTGCCTGTCGGTGCCTGGTTCGAAGCACATTCGAAATAAAAGCACAGTGAGCTAGGTGATTGGCATTTTCACACATTGATAGTCACTACTACTCTAGTAAGCAAACCATGCTGATATCATATATATATATATATATATATATATATATATATATATATATATATATATATATATATATATATATATATATATATATATATATATAAATATATTAAATTACAAATATATATATATTCTCCAATTTTATTAAAGAATGTCTCTCTTAAAATGAAATAGTCAAAATTCTACTATTTGAATTAGTACCAGCATTTTTTACTAATAAAATGGTCGTTTTCACTTTTAAATAGTTATTTTTTACTACTTAAATAGTTAAAGTTTGACTAATTTAAGATTAGTCATTATTTTTGACTATTTCTGTGAGTTAAAAGTAACTAATTTCTTTAATCGTTTGCGGCCAACAACAAATTATTGTTTCAGTAAAATGAATATAGGCTCCATGGTTAAATGGCCCATAAAAACAAACAAAGATGCAAAAAGTTTAGCTCAAAACCGCAACACACTAATTATAATTATTAGTGACTGCTTTTTCGCTATTACAATCAGTCAAATATGACTTATAATTAGTTATTTTTGACTAATTCATTTTAAAAGAGTGTACATTTCCTATACGTTTTCAATTAAGAAAGTGGCTCAGTCTTAAACTGTGGAAAAATTAATCTCTTTCTCCACGGTTTCTGTTCAATAAGACGACGAGATTTTAATTTTCTTCACGGTAATATTTACCATTACCATGACGATAATTACACAAAATTGTATACAATTAAAGTTAAAAAAAACTAGTGTTTAACTCCTGAGGTATGGCTATTTACATTCAGATAAATTACTACAGCCGTTAATTTTTTATTTTAGGAGTTTATTTAATTTATGCAAATATCAATAAATTAAATTAATTATTTTATTGTAATAAAGCACTTATATTACGTGCAATTATTTACCAAAACGTAATGAATTACAACAATAAATAGGAAAATGGCGATATCGTCCAAATTATATGAATAATTTTCACATACCATGCTTTCATTAAGTGTACGCGAGTTAGTTATTTATTGGGTTGCTGTTTTAATTAACTGGTGGAAATTAGGTTCGCGGTTAATTTGGCACATTTTGTGAGAATTACTTCAGCAATAGCTATAAACCAATTTAATTTTGTAATAATCATAAATCATTTGACGGACTTATATAGAACAGTGTTAATATGTACTTTAATATTAGTTTTATACTCTCTTAAATGAAATAGTCAAAATTCTACTATTTGAATTAGTACCAGCAATTTTTATTAATAAAATATTCGTTTTTACTTTTAAATGGTTATTTTTACTTTGTAAATAATTATAGTTTGACTAATTTAAGATTTTAGAATAGTCACCATCTTTGAGTCAAAGACATTGACTATTTCTGAGATTTAAAAGTAACTAATTTCTTTAATCCTTTGCGGCCAACAACAAAGTATTATTTGAATTAAAAGCATATAGGCTATATTGTTGAGAGTGACAATGTCAACCATCATTTTACACTACAATATTATATATATATATATATATATATATATATATATATATAAATATATATATATATATATATATATATATATATATATATATATATATATATATATATATATATATATATATATAAATATATATATATA